TGTGAAGAACTAGAAACAGTAAATACATGTAAACCACCAGCACAGTACCTGGCACATAGTAATCCCTCAATTAATATATATTTATACACTATTTTTGGTATTCAGCATAATAAGCTAAGCTTATAATACCACACTAAAAGGTTTATTAGGAGGCTCGTTCGAGTGCTCGCGGCGGCTTCGCCGCACTGGGGAAAGATGGTGGGCCGGAACAGCGCCATCGCCGCCGGCGTGTGTGGGGCGCTCTTCATCGGCTACTGCATCTACTTCGACCGCAAAAGGCGGAGCGACCCCAACTTCAAGAACAGGCTTCGGGAACGTGAGTGGGCCCTCGCGGACCGCGCGGCGCCCCTCCATCTTGGCGGCGGGCGCGGCCTCTCCTTGGGCCACGCTCCGTTCTAAGCCTCGGTCCTTAACCCGAAGGTGGAGCCTCCCTACTAGACAGAGTTCAGCCCGTGCGGAACCTGCATGCCCACTGCGGGCGTTGCATTCTTAAACCCTCTTGGCGGCTTCGCCTAGTGCTTCCAAGATATGAGTGAATGCTAGAGAAATTGCGGGGGAGTCCAAAGGGCTGTGCCTCTCTCGTGGCTCAGCCTCATTTCATACCTGCGACATCTTTTAAGAGCCGCTTCCCGAGGGAAGATGTCATGTCCCCAGAAACGTTCGTAGGCCGCCTTGCGTTTCGGGGGGAACTTTGTTCGCAGCAGTAGAAAAGCAGATTTGTTTTAATAAGAAATATTTTGGTAATCTGTCCAGGTGGCCCAGCCATGAGGGTTGTTAAAGCTGCGGTCGCACGAAGAAGTGGCCGCTCTGCTTGGTACTGGGTGGTTAATTCGGCAGTACCAGGTCGCCGCACGTGGTCCGTAGCCGCACGCGGCTCGCATTCTGGAGCGCGCTGGTCGTAGACCTGCCTTGCAGCACGGACTGGCTCCAGGCTTTAGTGGGGAGTGAAACTAAGGATTTGGTCCATTTACCGCTAGGTAGTCTCACGGAAAGAGCGATATTCTGGACTCAAACACTGAGTTTCCAGGCCCGGGTTGGTCACTGATGAGCAACATGATCTTGGGCTTTCTACATCTTAATTTCCTTAGCTGTGAAATCAGGTAATGCGGCTTGCCTCTTGTTGGTTTGGGGGAAAATAAAGTGTGAAGTGCTCACCATGATTTATGATGTAAATGCTGACCCTTAAGGATGATTGTTGGAATACAGGTCTATGGTTTCAAAAATGTATTGAGGGTGGAGGTGCAGGTGCAGAGTTCCATAAAAGTAGATTAATTATACCTTTGGAAGATTTGAAGATCTGTTTTAAAAGGCTTTCTTCCTCCCCTAAGTACTGAGGTTGGTAGGGAAGTCCTCTACTACTGACCTATACCCCCAACCTTTTTTATTTTGAGGCAGAGTCTAAAGTTGCCTAGGCTGGCCTCCATCTTGCCATAGTACAGGCAAGTGTCACCATACCAAGCAAGAAAACTGGTTTTTGGTTAAAGAAATCATAAGAGCTATCATTTTAGACGAATTGAGAAAGTTATTCTCAGAGTGCCTTTTCCATCACTTTCAGTCCAAATATTTTTTTAGCTTTAGCTGTGATATGATCATTTTAAGTGGATTACTAGCTCCAGCAGTAACAACTTCAAGCTTTTTTGTAAATGATGTGATTAAAGTATAGAGTTTAGTACTGCCCTGACACAGTAATTGGTGAATGCTAGAGATTTTAATTGATGTTTTTTGCTAACAAGTAAAACATCTTTGATTCATGGTAATTTTGCAGTTTGTTTAAAGTTGCATGGTTGATACTAAGATTTGGGGTATTTTGTGTTTGTGGAGTGAAGTTGATTTCAGTTCTTTTAAATTTGAATTTCTCTAGTCTAATTTCCAATAGAATACTTAGAATATTTATATTTGCAATGAATAGTTCTTCAAATCAGTCATTTAGGTTTTTTTTTAATAGAAGCTTATGTTGTTGAGAACAAGGTTTGGGCGTAGTTTGAGATTCAGGTTTATTGATACTTTTTATTTTCTGTTACCAAATTGTCTACGCTGTGTGTGCATGCTAAAGATTGAACCCCAGGGTTCCCCAGGGTTTTGTGTAAACTGGGCCTGTGTTCTACCTAAGTTTTATACTTACAGCCCCTTTCAATACTTCAAAGCATATTTTTTTTATCAATCTGAGTAATCATAAGTGAAATTTAACCTCTAAATTATAGTGCCAGCTGTATTCATGCTGTGAAAAGGGTTTTGCTAAATTGCCAAGACTGGTCTCCAAATTATACCTCACTCAAAAAATAAAAAGGGCTGGGAAAGTAGCTTTGTGTTACAACCTCTGGTTATACTATGCTGTGTAAAATGAGACATCATTAGAACTACTTTAAGCTAGCTTTAAAAATGATTTGTGACTATTGTAAGCTTCTATTTTGTGGATATTTTTGAAAGTACACATCCCTGTTTTAACTTAAGTTCCCAAATTTTTTGAGATGAATATCAGCAAATACTGAGTCAAGGCCTGGTTTTGCAGATTGAATGTGTAAGTCCTTTTGGCTTTTTTTGTTTGTTTGTTTGTTTTAGGTGAACACACTATCTTTATTTTAAACTTTGCTGATGTGACAGTCACACGTATTCAGTGACACCATGTACTACTCCTCACTCTGATCACAAATGGAAACAAATTTCATTCTACTGGGTTTCATTGTCATTTTTGTCATTTTCCCCAAATTCTGGTTTAATGAATTGTATTTTTCACTGTTAATTCCACAAATTTCTTTTGTTCATTTCTGAAAAGCCTTTTATTTTTACGGGTATGTCTTTACTGCTTTATGCTGTTGAGTAGAGAGGCAGAATAGAATCATGTTTGAGGACATGTGCTCTGAAGTTCAGCTTACTAGTGACCTTGGCAATTTTTCTCATTTGTAAGAGGGAGGTGACATTAGTATTTGTTTTTTAAAGTCATTGGGAATATTAAATATGATATTTAGACCAGGCATGTTGGTGTACATCTGTAATCCCAATGACCCTGGAGTCTGAGGCAGGAAGATAGCAAGTTGTAGACCAGCCTTGGCAATTTAGTAAAACCCTTAGTAATTCAGCAAGACCCCATCTCAAAAAATAAAAAAGGGCTGGGAATGTATCTCTGTGGTATAGCACTTCTGGGTTCCGATCTCCAGTTCCTACAGTCTTCTAGTCTTACTGCTCCCCTTCCAGTGCAGGGCCAATCTGTACATGTCTACCTGTTAGGTGGTTTTGTCTGTTATCATTGGTTATTTTTGGCCTGAAGAGGGCCAAAACCCTTAAGCAGATAAAGGGTAGAATTATGTTCTGTGTTTGTTTTTCACACTTAGTCATGCAGTGATGTGAACACTTTAGTAAAGTTAGTTTATAAGAAAAATTGGTAGTCTTTATGTAAAGTCAACTTATATTTTTGTGTTGAAATGGTTAGAATTGTTTTTAATTCGCCTTAAAGTGGCAGCACTTTGTGTATTATGAGGGACTAGAGTTGGCAAGGGATACTGGTGTGATTAAATGTACTTTGTAGGGATAGAATCAGAAAAAGTGTCCTCTGTCCATTGTAAATTAACCATGTCTAGATTTATGCAAACAGGATACTACTTCTTCAGGCATTTACTGATTCTAGGTGTTCAGGGGACCAGGGGACATTGCTTGTTTTGTGGCTTTTGTTTCTCTATTCCTATAGAGAGTTGGAGAGTTAAGAGATTTAAGTTAAAAGAGATTTCTCTAAGTTTCTCTAGCTAATAAGCATTATTAGCTATGCCAAGTGATTATTGGCCCTGTCATAGTGGTTTTTAGTAGTTATTACTTTTCTAGGTATTTCATAGTATAATTCAAATTAGACAATCTAGACAGAGGCCTTTATTCTCCTTAACTAGGGAGCAGTACTTAATTTAAGATTTAAGTAGTATAAGAACCTGTTGCCTAATTCTTGCTCTGTACCATGTTAGCTCTGTTGAGATCCAGCTGTTTGGAGCAGTCTTCATCCTCTGAATTGTTTGGCTTGATAATCTAGAGAAAGAAGGCTTACTGACCAGAACTATTCATGTGTCCCTGACAGATTACAAGGAGTCCAGGGAAGCTGAGATTTTAAGTCCCCATGTTTTGCAAATAGTATTAATGACTGCCACCGCAATCAGACTTACTTTGATTCTCATTTTTGATAATGGGAAATGAAAATATATACATAACATTTCTTGTAGGAAGAAAGAAACAGAAGCTTGCCAAGGAGAGAGCTGGGCTTTCCAAGGTAATACTCAAGTCTGATTTTTGTTTAGATTATGTTATGTATTTTATTCTTTTTTATTAATATTGTTTAGTTGTCATTGGACCTTTACTTATTATTAGTTAATAACCTGTTAAATATAACAAAATTATTTATATGTGGTTCTGAGAATTGAACCCAGTGCCTCACACGTTCTAGGCAAGTGCTCTACCACTGAGCCATAGCCCCAGACCCATGCATTTTATTTTTTATTGAAAAATTATCTAAAAATCTACTTCTGGTTTTGAGAAAGCTAGTTGATGTTGGATATTTATTTTCTGTTTTAAATGTAGTTTGTGAATGGGTGAATAACTTAGTTTAACTGTAGGTCGTCTAGTCCTCTGTTGGCAGTAACAGCATACAGCTACTAAACAAGGAAGTAGTTAGAGGCAATCAGATGACGTCTCCAAAAGATATTTTCACGAGAAGGTTAAAGTGTTGGCTGGGGTTGTGGCTCAGGGGTACAGGGCTTGTCAAGCATGTGTGAGGCCCTAGGTTCGATCTTCAACAACACATAAAAGAAAGGATAGATAGATAGATAGATAGATAGATAGATAGATAGATAGATAGATAAATGTAATTTTTTAAGAAAGGGTTAAAGTGTTCTCAGTTGCTTCAAAATGATAAAATATAGAAACTGTTTATTTTAATTCCCTTGTTCCAAGTTCCTTTAAAAGAACCATGTTATTCATATCCAAAATTATTCAAGATTATTCACACTGATCCAGAATCCCAATGCCCTGACTAGTTTTAACTTTGTTATATGTAAATCTGTTTATTTTTTATGTTCAAATCTATGATTATTTTTACTGACTACATAGGTTTATCTACTTGATAAAAAATTTTTCTGTGACACATATAGGAAATTAAATAAATGTTAATGGTGGTGCTTAAGACCAGGAAAAACAAAATCAAATGTTGCATTTTGGTGTTATGAAGCAGTTGTATAATCGGCACAGCTAATTGAATGGACATGGTAATAGTGAAATAAAATGGGGAGGTTCTTCTAACATGTCCAAATTATCTTTCTGACACATGTGATATGTTCACTGTGGATATAAGAGAATAAACATATGGGGTTCTGTTTTGGGTCTTGGTTTATGTGTGTTGTCAGGGATGGAATCTGGTCTTTACTCATGCCAAGCAGTGGCTCTTCCACTGAGCTACTTCCCCAGTCCCATTAATGCGTTTTTTAGATGCTGGAATATAATCAAATTCTTACTGTATGCTTGGAAAGTCAATACCTCCCATTTTCTGAAATTTTTTTTTATATCTAGTGGCATTATCTATTATAGTCATTTAGTGTGGTAATGTTGTTCGTAATAGCAAAAAACCAAAAAAGACTAGCTCAGCATAAAGAGGAAAGTATATAGATGGTGTAGGTATTTGTACCCTTCATTTTTTATGTTTGATTCAGAGCTTTCCTTTTTATTTCTTCCTGAGGTATTGGGGTTTGAGCTCAGGGACAGGTTCTCACTATAGTGTCCAAGCTGGCTTGGAACTTGTGATCCTCTATTTCAGTGTCCTGAATAGCTGGGATTACAGGCATGCCTCACCAAGAACTATATGATGTTGAGCATTTGTTCTGGTTAAGAACTAAGAACTATTCAGATACCAGTTTGATCAATAGATGTTTTTCTTTCATTTGTTTTTATTTAGGAGTTTTGGGGGAAGAAGTCTTCTATTATTTTTTTTTTCTGTGTATTGGTTATATCCCTGGCATTAATTTTGGTGTCACTTACTAAATATTCTGTTTCCAAACAGTTACCGGACCTTAAAGATGCTGAAGCCGTTCAGAAGTTCTTCCTTGAAGAAATACAACTCGGTGAAGAGCTGCTAGCTCAAGGTGATAGTCACTGAAGATGGAGGAACTAGACAGAAAGTCTTTACACTAGTGTAAACTTATAATGGAAAGGGGGTTTGCTTGTGTAGTTTGGCTGTTTTAGGAAAAAGGAATTCTAAACGTTTCAAGATGAGGTTTCAGGTACTTAATAATGTGAGGATCATTTTATAAGATTGACTCCAGGAAGAAATATTCCTTGTGGGTTATCATTGTCCATGAGGTCCTCTAATATTAGTTAGTTACTTGCTCCATCATTTGATATAGAGGACATAATAAGTACTCTTTACAGTGAGGTTACTTTTGATCCTTTTAGAGTAAGTAGCCACAGTGCAGTATAAATAATAACAGAAGGAAGGAAAGTTAGGAATGTATTTCTCTAACTTATACGTGACAGCAGAATGCAATATAATTCTTCTTACACATAGAGCTCAATTTTTCTTATCTCTGGTTGTATACAAAGTGTATTCACACCAATTCTTGTCTTTATACATGTACTTTGGATAATAATGTCCATCACATTCCACCATAGTTTCTAATCCCATGCCCTCTCCCTTCCCCTCCCACCCAGGAATGTGTTTCTCAATTCTCCCATCTAATCTTGAGGTCTTTTCCAGTATATAAGGGAAGGAATGGCTAATCTTAGTCCTAGAGAAAGTTAACTTACCTAATTGAGGTCACATGGTAAATTCAAGACTGTTATTTCAGAACCAGTCAATAATCTGATCCAGAATTTACCTTGTGCCTCATTTATTCAATCAGTAGTATTAAGAGGTGCTTTGAGCTGAGCATGGTGGCACATGATTATAATCCCAGCAACTCAGGAGATTGAGGAAGGAGGAGAATCATGGATTGTCTAACCACTGTATTCAGATTGACAACAAATTATGAATGATTAAAAACAAGTAAATAGGGGCTGGGGCTGTACCAAAAAAAGGCATTCTGTCCTTCTTTTAAAAAAAAAGTGAATAGGGGCTGGGGTTGTAGCTCAGTGGTGGAGCAGTTGCAATAGAATTGTTAAAAAGTGAGTAGGAAAACCTATCAAGTGTCTTAAATGTGAATGTGAGATAGATGCCAATCAAGAAATATTTCCAGGTTCCTTATGGGCCATGTGCTTTAATTTCCCCAACAGCAAGAGAAAGAGGACCCAGGCATTGGTAAGGGAAAGAGCATTCCCCTAACACAGTACTTAATCTCAAATGGCACTGCTACTGAGGTCCTCTAATATTGGGTTTGATCTGTGCTGTGTTAATAGATATATGATGCTTTTGATGCTGTTGGAGTTAACAGTAGATTTCACTTTTAATCTGGCTATCCAGTTAGCAAAAATAGTAAATATCCACTTTATACAAGAAGGAAGCTGAAGTTGACTTACAGACTTACGTTATATTATTTTGATTTATGTTGTATTGAAATATAACACTGACTTACTAGTATGTCTTGAATACACCTTTCAGCAATGTTGGAGCCATAGAAAAGATTATTTCCAGTGCTGGTTCAGAAGAGATTTAAGGTCCTAAGGTTATCTATTCACAAGGAGGAACAGAATGAATCAGCCTATCTTACCACCCACAACTGTACCAACCATTATATGGATCAGTGCACAACCTGAGTTGGTTCTCTTGTGATGGGTATCATTATAGCATCATTTTAATATCCAGGAAAGAAATTTGTATAACAGGTGGTGGCTACATACAACCCAGCAACAATGGTCAGCATAATCAAGAGGTATCCTCAGTGCGTAGATGACATAACTATAATTTCCACATTGGCAGGAGAGAGAGCTGTTAGTTGAGAGGTTAACAGTGTCCTTGAAACCCTTTATATGCAGATACCTCAGACTTGGACCTAAAGATTTCTCAGCTGCTCAGACTGTAGAATAAGAAACACCATAATATACCAGATTTAAAGGAAGAACATCAAGAATGACAGTCATGATACCCATGCTTGTCCTTAGTTTATAGGATTGTGGACATGGAGTGTGCTGGTGGAACCTGAAACATGCTTAGTCCCCTCAAGCTTGTGTGAGTGTATAATATGGTAGAAGAAGATTGGCCAGTGTATGGAGCATGGTTGGGGAGAGCGCCCAGACTGGTAGAGATGGTCCGAAACAGTTACCTTTTTGTAAAGGCTCAAAATACAACTGTTTTTGTAGTACCTTTAATCTGTTTTATAGTACACCTCATGTCATTGTCAACGTGGTTTAGAATAAATCTGATTTGGTTTAATGTTTGTGCTGTCCTTGGATTAAGGAGAAAATTCAGAAACACTAGCAGGATTATGGAGTAAAGGGGCCCCCTGGGTTTAATAACCTGAAGCAAATTGCTTGTAAAATGATTGATATAGTACATTAGTAAAGTAGTGATATGAACCTATTCATAAAAAATCACTTACGAACACCAGGCACAGTGAATCAACACCTGTTCCTAATGGACTGCATGGTGGGTTGCGTATAGAAGAGCCCTGAATTTAGAGGACCGGAGTCTTTTCTAAGAGGTAGTCATGAGGATATTTGCCCTTTGCTTCAACATGAAAGATGTGATACTAGGTACTATGCAAACCTACCCTTGCTCCAGAATCTAAGGCTGTTCACTGTACAGACATTCTTGAAAATATCTGGAGCAATGGCAGTAAATGCCTCCATTGAGAAGTTAAGAAACATGAGCAACACCTGGAGAAATGAACCCCAACTATCTTTTTTTCCCCCAAAGAATACAAAAGAGATCATTTTTTTTTCCTAAAAGATAACTCTTAAATAATTTTCATTGAAATTCCTATATAAAGTACTTAATTTGAAATAACTTTAATAAAGTCAAGGTATTGTTCAGAAATTTTGTTAACAGTTCTTTGGAGTTTAATTTAAAACAATTAACTGAGAACAAGGACCACATGTCAAGTACTTAGTTAAATACTAATTGAATGAAAATCTTCCAAAACAACCTTTGTTGAACTTTTTGAAAGTTATTTATAAATGTCTGTTGAGAGAAATTCACAGAGAATTGAAAATAAATTCTACTAAGAGAAAATGTTTTTTTTTTAAATCTGCTACTTGTCATGCTTTCATTGTGACCATTTTTCCTAATATAGTATCATTTGAGATTTTTTTCTTTTTATGGGGTAACATTGAAATTGTCAAAAGGGTTGGTTTGAAGTGAAATTTGGTCTCCCTTTTCACTTAAGCCTCTAATCTTCTACTTCTCTCTTTTTTTTTTTTAAAGAGAGAGTGAGAGAGGTTAGAGAGAGAGAATTTTTAATATTTATTTTTCAGTTCTCGGCGGACACAACATCTTTGTTGGTATGTGGTGCTGAGGATCGAACCAGGGGAGCGCGCTACCGCTTGAGCCACATCCCAGCCCCTCTACTTCTCTCTTTAATGTTCCATTGTTAGCAATTTCTTATGTAATCTTTCAGAAGTATTTTAGAAATGTGAATAGTAATGTATTTGGATATTTCAACATTTAATTTTCCTGTTTTGTGTATTGTGCACATTTCCACATTAGTACATATAATGTGACTCATTCTTTTTACTTCATAATATTCAGTTAATATGGATGCCCTATAGATTATTTCTAATTTTTTACTTACACAGTGTTTTTGGTTAGCACCACTGAGAGACTGAGTAAGAAGTTCGATTTTTGACAAAAGCCCAAACTTAGGTTGCTTATAATTTTGTGTAAATTTTTCAGGTGAATATGAGAAAGGTGTGGACCATCTGACAAACGCAATTGCTGTTTGTGGACAGCCACAGCAGTTGCTGCAAGTGTTACAGCAAACTCTTCCACCACCAGTGTTCCAGATGCTTCTGACTAAGCTCCCAACAATTAGTCAGGTAAAAATTGGGGTGTCATGAAATAAGGAGTGAGTGGGATCTAGGGTTGTTTTTAAATGAGCTTAGCAAACGTCTAATACTTGTAATACCAGTGCTTGACATTGTCTTCCCTCAGGTGTAAACTTCAAATGTCTTCACCCTAGACCTGAGACAGGAAATGTATATCTTAGTGTTAGTTGTTTTAGGCCTTGGTATTTAAGCCCCTAAAGGCTACTCTTAGCTATTTTATAAAATTTGTTTTCTGCCTGCTCTTCTGGAACATCATGCCTTCTGTTAGGTGGCTTGGTTCTGGGCATAGAGGAGTATAGATTTCTGGCCTCTCTTGTCTAAACACTTTTTACCTCTGTTTCTGCTAAGATGGGCTTAAGTTTGGAGCTATTTGACTACATCTCCAGATTCCTACTCAAGTACAAAATGCCATTTATTTAAAAGGTTAATGCATAACTTAAGACTTCAGTAAAACAAATTCTGTTCATTTTGAGTTCTTTCTAAGGAACCCAAATAAATCTATTTTTTGGCATAGCATGTCTATCTGATCCATATGTTGACTTCCAAAGTCATTGTGATTAAAAATTGGTGATGATGGGTAGTTTTCACAGAATTTTATAGTTACTAACTGACCAGTTTTTCATACTGTCTTGTTGTTTGGTCCTAAGGATCAAATCAAGGGCCTAGTGTGTGTTAGATAAACATACTGCCACTAAGCCATGTCTCTAGCCCCTTCAGACTGGTTTTTACATTTGAAAAGGACTGAAAAACTAAGTCTCAAAAGATTTGAAGAAAAGAATTGGAAAACCAAAAATCTGATCTAAATCTTTTAAACTAATGTAGTTCTATTATATCTGTATTAGAATTCTGTTTGATGTTATATACTGTTGAGGGGCAGCTGTCTTAGTCTGCCTGCTGTTGCTATAACAAAATGTGCAATGTTGGATAATATATAAAGAAAGTTTGTTAGCTAACAATTTTATTTGCTGGAAAGTCAAACAACATAGTTCCAGTGTTGACCAGGGCCCCCTGCCTTTGTCACAAGGTAGAGGAGCAGGAAGGGAGCCAACCATGTGTAGAAGGGGCATATGTGCCAGTGAAGAAGCAAGGAAGCCGGCAGGTGCCAGGTTAGCTCCTGTAAAGGAACTAACTGGGACTTGTGGAAACTCTAACCCCTCTTGAGGGTGGTACCCCACTGACTTAAGTAGTACCACACCAGGGAACAAGTTTCCAACACATGAACCTATCCAAACTATAGCAGCAGCATGACGGTACTTTGACCTGAGGGTAGTGTCTTTGAAATGTCAGTTCAGGATGAAACCTAAGTTTCCTTCTGTAGAAATGTCCTCCTCTACTCAGTTCAGCTGTCTAAATGTTATGTGGAAATGTTTGCAGAATGCTGTGTTCCTTCCTGTAATGGCTGTGAGCCATAAATGGAAATGTTTGGAGCAGAGAATGATTGGTAAAAGCACTAATCACTATTCTTAGGTTGTATGGAAGTGTAAACTCTGAAAATCCCTATTTGTTTACGGTACATGATTTCTAGTCCCATACTGTGCTACATTTGTCAGTGGTAATAATCATTTTCTTAGATGATAGAAATGTATAAAGTATTAAGTGTTGAAATAAATATCAGAATGGATGAAATTCAGTACCATATTTTATTTGAATACAGAGCATTTTATGTTGGACTTTGGGATCTGGATTAAAATGCTTATGACACTCAAAAATTGAATTTTTATTTTTCTTTCAGAGAATTGTGAGTGCTCAGAGCTTGGCTGAAGATGATGTGGAATGAGAAACGTCAACATAATAAAATCTCAGATAAAAATGTTAAAAATTGT